TCCATCAGATTGCTAAGCAGCCGTTATACCACTAAACCATCGCCCGATTTGTTGAAGCAGCGGCCCGGTTGTGGGGATTGTGATGCTCGCGTGCTGGGGCGAGGCAAATTTTGCGAGGGCGGGTGGGGAGGGCTCGGTCGAGACCGGGGCGAGAGGGGGGGGGGGACTAGATGGCAGGCCAGAAGTTGACTGTCCAACGATTCGAGCGTGGCCTTTGTTTGCGAGGAGGGAGGCTGCCATGTGCAACTTGGGTCTAGAAATCGTAGTACGGCCGAGCCTCTACACAGCATGGCAGCCCCGAGCTTGTACAACACGTAGGATAAATAGCCAATTCAGAGATAGTATGTACCGGGAATCAACATCTAGCTGGACGCCTGGAAGAGATACACACGTATAGTATGAGATAATGACTCTTCGTTGTAAATCGCTCTCATGGCGTCTCCGTCAAGCCCTCGTCACTTAGAGATTCTAATAGGGCTGAAATATAGGCAAAAGCGTTGTTCAGTCAAGTTACCCGTTCTGTGACGCATGTGATTGGCCTAGGTGAGCAAAAGCTAAATTCGACTGCGGCGAGAACCAACAAAAGTTTCTTCCGATCGGGGAATTGAACCCCGGTCCCCGGCGTGACAAGCCGATATCCTAACCACTAGACTAATCGGAAATTGATGTTTGGGATTCTGCAAAGTCAAATCATGTCTTAATCGACAGGCAAGCAGAACAGCAATTGGTGATGCCAATCTCATACGCTCTCAGGTCGACACGAACCGAATTCTATCACATCGTGTTTTCCCTCAGGTGCCCCCATCCTTTGTACGCACTTTCCACCATCTCGACAACTCTCCAGTGATGCGACGCCTATCGCCTTGAACGAAACGGTAACGGGTGCCCACGACGAGATCAGGATGGCGGTATCGAGCAAGCAGAAGCTCGCGATTCAATAACTGCCACACAAGAAGCCCGTCACCGTCCCTTCCATCGCACGCGGCTGGCGTATTTTGCAAACTTGGCGACATCCTCCTCGGCGAGCAGCAACTCGACGGTGTAATAATGTCGCGCCAGCTCTTCGTGTCCAGCAAAGCGATGCACAAACGAGTGGCACAGTCGACAGAGCCAGGCTACATTGTCGAGATCTTCGGGCGGGTGCCATCCCCTCCGAACGACCTTTTCGTGCACGAAGCGCGGAATGAGATGGTGATATGTCAGGGGGATCCAATCGCGACCACACAGTTCGCATCCGTCAGCCTGGCTGCGCGTTGCCCGCGGCGGTGGCGGAGGGGCGGTGAGCGCGGTGATGTACTCAGTCAGAACCGGGGCCAGCAGCTCAGGGACGCCACGGGAAAGACCATCGATGATGTCGTAAGTCGTGAGCGAGGCTGCCACATCCGGGTCGAGTGTTGTAAGGATAGCGGACACGTCGGCGCCAGTCAAGGGCAGGGCATAACGTGTCTGGAGGTCGGGATCTGCAGTCCATGTGACATGTGTAAGAGACTGTAGGTCGACGGGAACACTTTCAAAAGTTTGCGTTGCGATGTAATCAGTAAAGTCGGCTATATCTTCGGCGTCGGTAGGGTTCTGGCTGCTGCTGGTCGGTGTCGCTTGTGAGGTAACGTGGCGGGTTTTCTTCGTGCGACGCTTGGCTTTGGTTGAGGACTTTGTCATGTGCTCGACTATGGCGGCTGAAAGACAGTCCCGGAATGTTTCGAAACTGCGTTGTGTCTTCAAAGTTGCTCATGATGGATTTTGGCAAGCTGTGCGAGGCATGTCAGGTGACTACAACGAGCAAAGTTGAGACGTCGCAAGTGGATGACGCGCATGCGATGCGCTCGAGGATGGTGCTGGTGTGGGGCCTGTGTGATGCTGGCTTGTTGAGAATATCCTGGATTGGCGTTGGCGGATGGCACAGTCATCAATGTAGACACTGCTGCTTGGTATGACCTTTTTAGTGAAACCGAGGATTGATTCCGTTCTCATGACATGAGGCCCCCATGCAAGGCATCTCACCAGCATCGGTCCAGCACAGGCAGTAAGAAGTTAAAAGAAGCTCGGCGAACTAGAAACGCACATATGCAGCCAACGGCGGCACGGCCGTATGCGTCACCGGCAGCTGGCGCAATATCTTTTGACAGCTTGGGCGGCCACTCGGCAGGTTTGTGCAAGGGCAGAGCGACAGCTGAGACACACCTCGCGAATTGAGTAAATGCACGTCGGTACAAGGATTTTTGTTCTTTTTTCTTTTTTTTTTCTTCTTCTTGGAGAGCTGAAGCGACAAGTCATCTCGGTCGTGGCAGCGCAGAAGCCGCCTTGTCCCCCCACCAAGCGAGGGGCGTGGCATAAGACTGTCATCGAGCATGGCTGGCAGCATGCAAGAGCGAGACCAGCAAAGGCGAACGCCAAGATAAACGCAAGACGGATGTCTCGGGTCAACGAGGCGATCTCAAGACACCCCGCTAACCTTGTTCATCACCTGGAACAGTGTGGGTGAAAGACCAGTTCTGCTGCGGGGGTCTGGATGGCGCCAGGTCAGCCGGTTCGAGACAGATGAGTGAGGCGTCGGCAGCCAGCATTGAGGCAGTGCCGCGAATGATGTGCCTGAGAATGCCTTGACACTGACCGGACCGAAGAAGATGTCACGATGGTATGGGCGAGATGTGGGCAAGACGATCGAGGGGGTGCCAAGCACGAGATGCCAAGAAAGGGATGCACGAAAGGGGACAGCAAGAAACAGAAGGGGACAGCAGGGGACGGCATGGCATGCGAGGGGAGGCGTGAGGGGTCGCCGCGAGAGCCTGAGGTAGGGAAGGTACCACCGTGCTGGGAGCACCTGCCCATGCCCACTGGTCTGTCCTTTCCCTCTGCTGCCTTGGTTCGTCGCATCAGGAAGGAGCGCCGGGATGTCATCGGCAGGAGTCTCGACGGATAGGGGTCCGGCTTAGGGGGTGTTAGGGGGGTTGGGGGGGTGGATCGCTGTAGTGGGCTCTCGGTTGCGGATGTATTCCAGCGTGCGGGTGGGGGACCTGCTACGTCATAGGCCATGGTCCCTACCTTGCCTTCCCTGGTCTCTCTTCACCTCCACCTTCCGCCTCCACCTCCAACATCCACCCCCGCGCACCGCTTTTGGTGCTGGTGCTTGTGCTTGTGTTTGTGCTACTCCTCCGTGCCCCCCCCCCTTTCAGATCATCATGCCATCCACTTCAATCATCCCCCACGCAGCCGATCATACCATCAGATACTATCAGATGCCGCTCACCGAGGTCAAGCTGTCCAGTCAG